TTTCTCCTTTATTCCCTCGCATTCCTCCTTCAGATGATCTACCTTTTCTCTCGCTTTTCCGCATATCCTACACATTCTCTCCTTCTCACTCATCCAATATTTATCTCCTCTCTCCTCGTTTCCACACCTCCATCTCGCAATCCTCTGTAGCTTTTTTCCTTCTTTCCTTTTGCTTACTTTTATGTATCTCGGTATTCCTCTCACCCTCTCATAGTTTCTGCATGACCTTGACCCTTTCACTTTTCCCCCCTTTCTTGTTCATCTACTTCTATATGCCTTTTTCTTAGTTTTTCCCATTTACTCTCTCCGTATTCCGTTAGAGCTGTTTCACTCATTCCCCCTTCCCACAGGAAATTCCTTCTCTCTATACTTTCTTTCCCCCACTCTCCCATATCCTTTTCCCTTTCGTCCTTTCTCCTCTCTTCCATACATTTCCTCCCCATTTCTCCCCCTTCTCCCCTCTCTAACTTCTCCTCGTATTTCCCTGCTCTCCAGCCTGTTTCTACCTTTAGCTTATTTCTTTTTAACTCTTCTCTCACTATATATCCCGGTGTTGTCCTTTCTACTCCTAGTACCCATCTCAGGTACTTTTCCTGCATAGCCTCTATTTCGTTCCATTCTCTATACCCCCATATTTCTACTCCATAATATAAAATCCCTTTTACTATGCTGTCGAACAGCTTTAGCCTCCACCTCACATCCCCCCTGAATTTTCTCTCCCCATAGCTCCATACCCACCCCATTGCCACCCTTGCTCTTCTTACCCTCTCTTTTATATGTTCCTTTTCCCCTCCATGCCATGTCGAAATATATCCTAAATACTTGTATACTTTAACTTCCTCTATCCTTTTTTCTCCCCACCACCAGAATCTCTCTTTCTCTTTTCCCCCTTTATTTCTAAATACCATCACTTTTGATTTTTCTACACTCAGATCTAACCTTTTCTTATCCACATATCTCCGTACCCCTCTGATCATATCTCTCAAGCCTTCTTCTTCCTTCGCCACTATCACTATATCGTCTGCATATTCTAATGTCCACACCTTATCATTTCCCACCCTTACTCCTCCTCTTCCCTTCTTCATTTCATCTTCAATATCGGCTAAGTATATATTAAAAAGCGTCGGGCTCAACGGGCACCCCTGTCTCACCCCTTTTTCTACCCAAAATTCCTTGGAGACCTCCTCGCCAACTTTTACCACGCACCTTGTTTCCTCGTATATCTCTTTTACTCTGTCTACCATCTCTTCACTAACCCCTCTTTTTCTCATCATTATCCATAGCACCTCTCTATCTATCCTGTCGAAGGCTGCCTTCAGATCCATAAAAAATGCCCATACTTTCTTTTTACCCTTTAGCTTTTTCCCTATTATGTGTTTTAGAATTTTCACGTTTTCCATTGTACCCCTTCCTTTCCTAAAACCTGCCTGCGACCTGCTCCATCCTCCTCTTTCGTCCAGCTCTTTTATCAATCTTTTATTTAGTATACTAGCATATATTTTATATCCCGTGTTTGTCAAAGTCACACCTCTGTAATTCTCCTTTAAATTTCTATCCCCTCTTTTCCAAATAGGAACCACAACCCCCACTCTCCATTTCTCCGGCAACCCCTCTCCCAGTTGGCAAAAAAATACTTATGTATTCCCGCGGCATCCGTTGCATCGGAAAGAATTTTTTCGACGGCAGGCAATATCGTTTCGCCACGACGAAGCTGCCTCGCTTCTGAAAATGTTTCGACAAATGTTTTTATTTTTCAAAATAAGTTTTTATTAGAACAATAATGCCCAGTAATAATCTTTCTGAGCGATGTAGGGGGCTTCTAAATTGAATTTTTAACTTTTGACCTAAGAGATATTCTTAACATTTTTATAAGATTTATTTTAATAAGGTATATTTTTCTTTTTATTTTATTTCTTTTATGTATTTTTCTTGTTTACCTTCTCTTGTTCTTCTTTATTGTAAACATACATTTTATTACATACATATTATTAAAAAGAACAAAAATAATTAGAGTGCATTAATAAAATCTTTATGAAAGTTTTTCTCTCTTTCGTCATGTTAAAGTGTAATACTTAAATACAAAATGCTTAGTCAGATTACAATAATTAAAATAAACTAAAAACTATTTCTTCTAATAAGAATTAAAATATAAACATAAACCCCTTTATGTAATACTTAAATACAAAATGCTTAGTCAGATTACAATAATTGAAATAAAATAAAAACTATTTCTTCTAATAAGAATTAAAATATAAACATAAACCCCTTTATGTTTATATTTTAATTCTTATTAGAAGAAATAGTTTTTAATTTATTTTAATTATTGTAATCTGACTAAGCATTTTGTATTTAAGTATTACACTTTAACATGACGAAAGAGAGAAAAGCTTTCATAAAGATTTTATTAATGCACTCTAATTCTTTTTGTTCTTTTTAATAATATGTAACCGTATAGCGGATTATTTTTATGGTCCAATTTATCTCTACAGGTGGTCCAATATGTCCATATACAGAGTGTTCCATAATAATCGCCCATCCTCTCGTGTGCAGGTAGAGGATCGAATCGTGTAGAAAAGTTTTGTAGTTTGTAATATATATTTTGTCTACCTGCACACGAGAGGATGGGCGATTAATATAGGACACCCTGTATACTAGATACAAGGTACCCGTGTAGATATTTATAACGAGATTAATGGCACGAATTTGACACATCGATTCAACACACATGATTCAATGAGAACTGCTTCACTATTTATGCAAAATATTTCTTTTTTATATTAAATATTGTTCAAGTGGTGAATGTACGTGGAATGAACCACGCGAGACATGGATAAGAAGGCACACGGACAATAACTCGATAATTTAGAAACCCAAATAATATTCGGATAAATTTTAAATAAATTAATTCATTATTAATTAGCGATATAATAATGAATTTATGCGAATTTTTCTAGTGTTGATACGATACTTAATTGATTTACTTAATTGACCATTTTTTAAGATTTAATTACGCGATCTTAAACAAATATGTAATCTACATGTTATAGTATTTTAAAATTATAATTTAGAAGTAATTACCTATTTCTCAATATATATAAATTAGTACTTTTTATTTACAATATTTTTAGTGTTCGTCGGAGAAATTCGTCACTCGCACGAATAAATTTTCGAAACTTCGAAGCTTCGAATTGAACTTCGAACTTCGAACTTCGAAGCATCGAAGATTTTGAAACTTCGAAGTCAACTTCGAAGCTTCGAATCTTCGAATATCGAAGCCTTCGAAGGAAATCACCAGCCCTACCATTTATTATATTTTTATGCTGTAAGTAATTTATGCTGTAAAAGTCTCGATCTATGCATTCAACCGTCGTTTGCAGACAGTCACTTTAGAAGGGCCTAAATTATTACTGGTGATACAAAGGTATTATATTTTTAAAATAAAAGCGCCTTGTTAATTTTCCACGATGAGCAAGCGGAAGCAGACATGTATTGATTTGAAAAGAAAAATTGAAATAATACAAGAAGTTGATCGTGGATTAAAATAAAAAACCGAGATTGCTAAATATTATAATATTCCTAAATCAACGCTGTCAACGATAATAAAAAATAAGGAACAAATATATGAGTCAATTGCGTCAGGAACCATTACTCCGAAAACTAAACGCATTCGTAGAGCACAATATGAAGATGTCGAAACTGAAGTATTAAATTGGTTTAATCATATGCGAGTTTCAAATGTTTCGATCAGTGGACCGCTAATTCAGGAAAAAGCGAAATCTATAGCAGATAATTTAGGTACCGAAAATTTTAATTGTTTGAGTGGTTGGTTATGGAGATTCCAAGTTCGACACGGAATATCGTCACAAGCTGTTTGTGATGAATTAAATAAAGTAAATGAAGAACATGCGAATGATTGGCTATCTACTTTCGAAAATATTAAACAAAAATTTGCTCCGCGAGATATTTTTAATATGGACGAGACTGGAATATTTTTTAATCTTTATCCAGATCGTACTTTAAGCTTCAAGGGTAACAAGTGCCATGGCGGTAATAAGAGCAAGCAGAGAATAACGGCTGTTTTTGTTTGCAATTCTGATGGTAGCGAAAAATTGCCTGCTTGGATTATAAGAAAATCAAAACAACCTCGCTGTTTTAAACATATTAATTTGTCGACTTTAACTTGTCAATATACCTACACACCATCAGAATTCTTGGATAGATGCCGTAGCATTTCGTAAATGGCTATTAAAATTTAATAGCAGTATGGCGTCTCAAAATAGACATATTTTATTGACTTTAGATAATTGCACTGTTCATAATGTGAATAATATGGAACTATCAAATATAACAACACAATTTTTTTCCTGCCAATACTACAAGCCGTCTTCAACCTTTGGATCAAGGCATTATCGCTTTAATTAAAAAAGATTATCGTAAACGACTAGTACGTGCTGCAATTCAAGCTATCGAAAGTCAGCAAAAAGTGTGTCAGTGGAATATTTTAAATGCTATACGAGCTATTATATTAGCCTGGGACTCAGTTTCTGCAGAAAGCATACAAAAATGTTTTACAAAAGCATGGTCTCGATCAGGCATCGATCAGTCTCCTTTGTTGAAAGTTGTTACCGACGAGAATTCCTGTGCAGAGTGGGAATATTTAAAATCAATTGATATAAATGCGAAGGTAAGAAAAGAATAAGTTATAATAATAATTAATACATAGCACACATACAGTAAACCCTCGTCAACACGAACTCGAAGGGACCGCAATTTGAGTTCGTGTTAACCGAGTGTTCGTGTTAACGAGGAAATCTGGCCCCTCGTTAACACGAATTTGTTCGTGTTAACCGAGTTCGTGTTAACAAGGGTTTACTGTATTCGCGAAAAACTATTTTTCACCCCCTTTCACCCTCTATAAAATTTTTAGCAGGGTTGGTACCGATGGGGACTTTTGAAACATTGTTTCAAAGGACAATATCTCGCTGTATACCAAAATCCAGCCCTATGGGAATGTTTCCGAAGAAAATTTCTAATTTGACTGGGCTGTACGGTGACGTGCCGTGCTACTCGCCGGTAATGGCGTTCGCCCAAGAGTGAGAGAGAAGGCGAGTCCTCGGCGCCTAGCGCCGAACGTGGTGTCCTTCCTGGACGCGTAGTTGGCCTTTTGTCGTGCGTCTCGC